AGTCCACACTTGTATACAGTCTATGAATTGACTTCACTTAAAAAAGTTCACTGACTTTATGGCCCTTTTATTCATGTGCCAGTCACATCAATCTTAATGTTAACTTTTCATATAATTTGTGTTCTATATTTTTCAAAAGGAACTTTTCTTTATCATGCTAACTTTGTGTTTTCAAAGAGTTCATTTTACTCTGGTTTCTTGTGTACTGTCTTTTCTTTTTATGGAAAACTAAAGCATACAACAGTGTGATTGCTAGCACAGTTCAAACAAATGTATATGATTTCCTTTATGATTGAAATGAATAGCCGCACAAAGTATGCTGCAGTGACTCTGATATGTTTTAATGGCTTTGATGATTTGACAGGCTATTTGAACAGCTAATAGCTTTTTTAAAGATCTCCTGCTAGATCCGTCTCTTTTTATATCCAAAAGTAAAAGAGAAGCATCTGAAAGTAGTTTCTCCTCAAAGCACTCATCTTCATCAGGGTTACACCAGCTATTACTGCACACCTACCAGAACCATTTATTTAGATAATATCCTCACTGAGACGTGAGCACCAAAATTGGCTTGTAATTAAAAGAGGCCGGGGATTCTGGAGTGAAAAAAATGGAAAAGAAGCCGAGTGAGTTATGAAGGGCCTTCCTGTGGTTTAAAAATCAAACAGCACCTGGATGCTGCTCGCTTCGGTAAGGAAGAGGAAGAGAAAGAGATAGGAGTGTGCAGGCAGACACACAAACATGCAGAGTTGACAGATACAGACACTTTCACACACAACGCCTCCACAGAGCTGGCACATCGGGTGAGGTAACGTTCCCTCCTTTCTGCCTTCCAAGCACACTTCCTCTGCCTGGAATAATTGCTGCCTGGCTGCTCGTCTGGGAATGGGAGCCACTCTGTTCATTAGTTGCTCTAAATATCAGACACGGCATCACTTTTAAAGGCTTAATTTCACTGCAGTCCCAGCCCCTCTCTCTGATCCTCACCCGTCGAGAGCCACAGAGTACGCTCCCGTTCTCGCAGGCATGACCTAAATAGATAAGCAGTAAATGAACGGGGACCTTTTCTTTTAGAAACCGGGGGGAGAAATTAGCGGACAGAGATGAGAACAGAGCGCTGGAGGTGAGAGGGAGCCAAAGTGACAGTGATGGCGATGCAGAAAGCAGTATCCATTTTCTTACAAAAGAGGCAAAACAAGACGTCTGTTTCCATGGAGACCAGCAAACAGTCATATTTCTTAAGGGACCACTGGGCTTCCTGCGGCGCTTAGTGATTGGCTCATTCAGATGCTGCAGACACAGGACCCGAGGGAGAAGGCTTACACTGCTGCTGTTAGAGCGGTGAGGACAGGATGTGTTCCGCTGGACGGGCCAGACCTGAACACACTTCAGACACAAACTACATGATGCCTCTGACCTGCAGATCCTTCCTATTGCTAATGTGACACTAGTCAAGCTGAGAGGGATAAGTATGGAAAATGAGAGGTGACGTAATGTACATCTGGCCGTACATCAGAGCAGGAATAAACCTAAAGAGCAGCAGGTAACGACACCATTATAAATCAATCTGTTTATTATATTCTACATTGTTTAGTCTAGAAAATAGTCAAAAACAACCATCCTAGTGTCTCAAAGTTCAAGCTGATTTTTTTTATTAAGATTTTTTTCTTAAACCCAAAGTTTTTAACTTCAATAGGACAGAAAACATGGAAAGCATTTATATTTGAGAGGCTAAAAGCTGCATTTTCTGCCATTTACTCATATTTATTTCACACATTACTCCGTATTTATTTTACTGTACAGTATTTCATTTTACAGCATTTCATATTTTTTTATTTGAAATAAAACATCTAAAATGTGCAACTTACTGGCACCATTATGTCCAGGGCCGGCCCTAGACATTTTGGTGCCCTAGGCGAGATTATGATTTGGTGCCCCCCCCCCCCAAGCAATACACGATATAATATATAAAGAATAAATGAAAAATCTCTACAAAAGACCAATACACTACAAAAACTGAAACGTATTGACATGTTGGTTATATACATAAAGAAGGTTTCCAATGTATTCATTATTGTATGCACATGTTTTAATTGGGGGGTGGACGGCACATCCTCTAAGGGGGTCCGGGGGTATGCCCCCCCGGAAAGATTTTTTTTAACATTTTAAAGTAAAATGCTTCAATCTGGTGCACTTTGAGCAGAATTACTAGAGACCTGATCTAGGGGGTACAACTCTAAACACCCATATGAAAAAGATCGGTTTACATTTTAATAACCAAATAAGTATGTGAACATAACCAATAACCTACCATAGCCAATAACAAATAAATGTAACGTATTTTATTTTTGTTGTTCATTCATATCTTATTTTACCTAGTTAACATTTATTTATTCATGCATATTTTTTTAATATCTCCAGTTTTAAACAATGTTTTAGGTTTACTGTCCTATAGTATATGGAATGATTTCAAACCTGTTTTTATTTATCCTAATAATTATAAAGAAGTGCCTTGGAAATATTTGTTTAGATAAATTGTGACCAAACCGTTTGAGACCCACTGAGATAACTTGGACTAAAGTGAACTATCTAAACACTCAGAGTCCTTTACCTCACTGAGCTGTAGTTATCAGCCTCAATCCAACAACAATCCGCGGTACCGATGCGCGCCCTCTCTCTCTCTCTCTCTTGCTCGCTCGGAGGCTCGCTCTCACTTTGGCTGTGAGCTGCGGGCGCCTGATAAGTCAATATCCCCCACTTTCATCACTTACAGGGCAAATACACAATGTTGCCGGCCCGGGGTGCAAAGGGTGTTTACTTTATTACATTATTAATGTAAATGTATTACATCAAGGGCAGAAAATTAGGCAGAATAAAAAAAATTTCTCCCAGCGCAGCGCCCCTCCAGATCTGGCGCCCTAGGCGACCGCCTAGTTCGCCAGTGCCGAGGGCCGGCCCTGATTATGTCACTTGCACTATTGTATTTCTTTATTTCCCAGTTTGTCTTAAATATAGTATGTGGCACTGTTGGAGGAGGTTGGGACTGTAGATTTGCATTAAATACACTTAAACTATACTGTAGCTGTTATAATAAAAACAAATAAAGCCTTTGAATCTTTGAACCTTTTTAATAAATCAATTATTCAAATAGTTGTAGATATTCTTCTGTCCATAGACTTATCCTTGCAGCTCTACCCCAAAACAACACTAAAATGAATGTCATCACTTCTTAAACCATGCACTTTGAGGTGGACAGAAACACATCTGGCTACATGTGTAAATGCAATGCATCTCCATCATCATGTAAACTACAATCATGAATCAAACCAAACTTGGTGTCAGCAGCTTGGATACTAATTAAGAGCCATGCATTAGCAGAGACAGTTGTTCTAATAGCCCATTTCACACATGCACTTTGTTCTGTAATCGCTCCAGCAATTTACATGTCAGCTTCATGATTGATAATGACCACAAGCAGTTTTTCCATAAATGCTTCTCCCTCCTTTCATCAATGCGAGTCAAAAAGCAGTCAATTATAAATGAAGCACACACATGGTCAGTCTTTTTGGACATGTAGATGGTATATATGAAAATACATACAGTATATAACTGCATGTTTTGTGCTGCCTTCTTATGACAGAAATACATTTATAAAATGCTATTAAACAATTTTTTAAACAAACAAAAATGCATTATTAAAGCAATGCTGTGAATGGCCCAAATGAAGGATGTAGAATGTAAGCAATGTTAATAGAGGTTATTATTGCAGTGAAATCTCGGGGAAAGAGAAGAACAAGGTTTTTTGGATAGCTTTCTAAATGCAATTTAACAAAAGTGTAAAACTGTTCAGGATAATTGTTTTATGTTTAGCTGCTTTGACTACTCAAACTACATAACATTTGTACAATATAGCCAGAGTTGAGTTGGATTCCAATCTAAGAGCCTAAACTACAAAAATATCAACATTTGGATTAGGGGTAATTGAAAGTCTTTTAAAACCTATACATTTTGCTGTTCAACTTGATCGGGTGACTCCTCCATCCCTGCTGCTTTTGCATGAAGGCTCATAATGTCAACTAAACCTCAGTAAACCTCCCTCGCATGCAATCTCCTTTCACTGTTTTGTAGGCACAATGGAGAAAACATGCATGTTCTCTGGGTTAACAAATAAATACTTTCAGTCTCACTAGAAGCGCCTCCACTGCTACTTCAGTGAAGTACAGGAAGAAAATGTGTTGTGAAGTAAAACGTATGTCCTTGATTTTGACGATATGTGAAAGACAGTACGCACACATCACTTCCTGTCCTTGGAAATACAAGGCGAGTTTTATGTTCTGACCTATCCTTGAAGGCTATTGGCACACTATGTCTTTCTGCCTCTCGTGAATGATCTCATGACTACAGAAGCCCTGAGAGGCAAACGAGAAAACCTGATGATCAAAGCCTGATCCTTATGGTATTTTTAAGTTGTGTTTTTAAGCTGGGGGAAAATGTTAATAATCATAAAGATAATTGTTCTTATTTCAAATCTACTTTAAAAACTGTTTTGGCAGGTGAGGTTTTCTTTTTTCATGAACAATTAATAAGTGTTTGTTGTTGTAAAACCCATTTCTGCCACAAGAGGCTGAAGTGCACCACTACCCCATGTTCAAATAAGATAAAAGGCACATGTGAGTCAGCAAATGATGTAACGGCTTAATTTAGAATCACCTTTAAGAACACATACATATTTGTGTCTTATTTAGAACATGGGTATCAGCATCTTGTGGCCAAAATGAGTATAACAACAACAACAAACAAACAAACTTTTTAACCCTTGTTTCATTTTAAGAACTTCAAATAAAAAAAGATATAAAGCTGGCAAATCCTTTTTTACAAATGGTCTTGCAAATGGCTCACAGGAAGTTATACTTTCCAGACTCAAACCATTAATAGCATGGCAATAATTGTGTTAATGTACTTTGTTCTGAGTGTGTGAGATTGTGCATTAGAGGTCAACATACCGTCACTTTCTCTAAATCAGCTTCTGAGGAGGTGGGAGACAGGGGGCTGATGGGACTGAGGGAGGGGGAGCTTCCGACACTGGAGACGTACTCGGGATCAGGAACGTACAGAACCTGCAAACACAATCCATGTCTGTATTTACACAGGCGCTGCCTTTGTGCAAACACACATTTGCACACCACACATGCACGCACAGGGAGAGATAAAAATGACTCACTCTCACACACGCATCCTTACCACAAATGTGACAAAACAAATGCATGATAATCACATGAATATTCTCACGTATTGACAGGGACAAACACAGAAAGGGAAAGTGATGGATAGTCAGGGTTATCAGTGATGGGTACATGGGAACTGTTTGTTTTCCTGTATTTAAAACATACTGTTCAGGTATTTCTGTTATGTGTTCAAATGTGATTTTTTGATGTTGGATAGCATAAACCAATGGTATTCTTTATTCAGTAATATGTGAATTATTTAAACAATTATTTGATCAATCATTTAGTCCATAAAATGTCTGAAGATAGACAACAAAGCTTATACAAATTATAAAAAAAAAAGATATTTAGTTTAGGATTTTACTTGCAACCATTGCATTCTGAAATCTTTGCATGAAAATAAATAAATATTAAAATAGTTGAAGGTACATTTTCAGCCCATTCACTAACCAATTAATCAACTTATTGTGTAAGACTGTTGCATAATGTAGTGACACAGGAGGGGAAGTGCTGGCTTTTAAATACATATTTTAGTTATCATCTGGGAAATACACTTATTCACCTTTTTTCTGAGAGTTAGATAAGAAGATCACAAAAACTAACTAACTGTTTGTTTAGTATGAAGCTTAAGACCCCCTTTACACGAGACCGAAACGGGTTGTATCCGCATAGTTTCTCTTGCGTATAGCCCTTTTATTTACACGAGGCCGTAACAAAACGATAGAAACGTTTCCAGTCTTTGTGCTAATTGAAGCTAACCTAGCTTCATAACATATATTTAGATGGTTTATCTTTGACTAGAAGAAAGAGATCAATCTATATCAGCTTTAGGGTTCAATAAATATATGTCTTTGTTGTGGTGAAGCTTGGTCTTGAGCTGTGAAAGTGGAGGAGAGCTGATGGTTCAGTCAGTGCAGTGTTTCCCACAGATCTGAAATATACTTTGGGGGGGGGGGGGGTGGTGTGAGGTGACGTGCAACAACAACATTAACCTTTCTGTTGGTCGCTTGTGAGCAGACCCTTCACACGATGGCAGAGCGAACGGGTACAGCCAGGGCCGGACTGGGACAATAAGTCAGGCCGGGAATTATACACTCAGCCAGGCCACTACCAGTTTTTGTTTTTTTTGTGCCATTTTGCTGGATTTATTTGTCAATATTTACAGCGTTGCTGCCCATAGTGATAGCCCTATAGTTTAAATCTACTACCCACAAATAAACATATGGACATGGGTTCTATTTAAATACAATTGTAAATGTATTTAGGAATCTGTCCATGTGAACCTCAAATCCTCTAGGGGGGTCCGGGGGCATGCTTTTTAAATCTTGGAGTTAAATGCATCAATCTGGTGCATTTTGAGGGGAATATAAAGAGACTAGATCTATGGGAACAGAACAGAACACACATAGAATTTTGGTCGATTGCTGAAAAAACACAAAGAGATGAAAGCCAAAGAAAGCTGGCAGTGGGTTGAGTGGGTTAACGATGGGTGTGTGCCATGTTGTCGGAACTAAAGCATCTTTGGGAGATTTCTAAAGCATATTATTAAACCCTTTTTTAGAAACAAAATAGGGCCTTTGCAAGGAATTGCATCCTAATGGGAGCAATGACGCTGTAATTATCAGGCAATTAAGTGGGGAAGGAGATGGTGGGGGTGTGAACAGTGAGGCAGCAAGTTCCTCTGATCAATTAGGAAGATATAAACATATGTCTCCCAAAAAAGCTTTTATATCCATCTTTTCTAGATTCCTTCGGCACTGTAGAAAATGTTTAGTGACTGTGAGATTCAGACAATTCAGACAATGCATAATTAACTGTCGAAAGTAGCTTTGTTGAGATTGAGCTGTTTGTGAGAATGTGCAGGTGAGAGGTTGCTGAAGGACAGAGATGAAGTGTTGCAGCTGAATATATCAGTGAGAGCGTGCACGGTGGTTCACACCTGGCCAGGCACCACTGCTCTGGAGAACAGCTTGTTCAGCTGGACCAGTTCGTTGGGTGTGGTGTCAAACTTGAGCGAAATGCTGTTCAACGTGTCCCGCGATTCCACCTGGACCACAAAACAAGAGAGAGGACAACAAAATCACACTCCACATTCTGTACAGGGCATTTTTCCATAAAGCTGCATAGAGAAGACTTGAAGACGTGACACATATAATGAGAGAAAGAGAGAGAAAGTGAGAGAAAAGCTGTGCTACTACCTCAATATTTAGATTTTGGGATGTTATGCAAATTAAAGTTGTCAGCTGTTGACCAGGAATAGATTCCCAGCTGATGTTGCTGGCAGAAATATGAACTGACGTGAATGTCAGCAGCAGTCTTGTGTTATCTTGGAAAACTCATAGCTGCACCCAGCTTTTTGTCAATTTAAAACAAGAACGGCAAAAGTATAAAGCCTAAGGCAACAATTCAAAATGTATTAATTCCCCAATTATTATTTTTGAATTATTTGAATGACGGTTCAGGCTATAAAGCAACAGATAATTGTGCAAAAAGCCCTTCAAAGTTTTCTACAAAAAGGTGGAAGTGGTCTTCAAATTATTACAGGCAATTTGTTAGCATAACTAGCTAATTAGCTTACTAGCTAGAGTAGTAACCAAGCGTTATTTTCAAGGCCAAGGAGCATTTCATCGTACTTTTTTCGCGGGTTTGAAAGTAATTAAAAAAAAATCTTGCTCATGACTATAGCACAGGGGTGTCCAAACTACCGCCCGGGGGCCAAATGCGGCCCGCGGACCATTTTGAATCGGCTCAAAAAGTATAATGGAATATGGCCCACAAATTAAAGTTGTGCTTGTCTTATATTGTACTTCTTAATTATAAATGTAAAAATATATTACACAGTAGTATTCATGTGTTAATAAGATCACTTTTCAAATACATTCAGTCAATTTCATTTGGAAACATTTTCTAATATATCTTAGTTGATAAGAAAACAAGCCCAATTTCTCCTTATTATAATCAATCGGAGGCTTCTGTTTCAAGGGATGAGCTGCCAACACTCACAAGCATCATTTACCTACATTTGATTGATTTAGCTAATTGACTGTATAACTTAACTTATGAGGCAGTATACCTCTAGTGAGTGGCCCAGCCCTTTGCATATTCTTCTGTATGTGGCCCTCGGTGAAAAAGGTTTGGACACCCCTGCTATAGCATATCCCTGTGGTATTTGCCCACTGTGTGGTAGCCGATCCTGGATGTAACTACATTGGATTGTAGGCTAACGTTAGCAGCTCTGACCTACTCAATATTGTTGTTAGTCTTTATCCTGTCAATTCTTTTTAGTGAAAGATGCTGTTTTTAAAATAAAAAAAAGAGGCATATCTATGTAGTCCTATATTTCTTAGTTTTTATCCTGTTCACCTATATTAACCCTCCCATTGGGTTCAGACCAAATTTGACCCAATTCCAAATTAAAATATTCAGAAAACAGTCAGCTATCAAATAACCAGCTATATAAACACAAAAAACAATGGTTTTCACTCAATTAAATGTACGATGTTGCTTAAAACTCCTGTACCATCTTCACTGCAGAAACAGGCAGAATAAAAAGTGGTCTTGATGTTATTTGATGATTCACGTATCATTCAGGGTTCTGTTGTGACGGCATCCTGTGCTGCACCCTGCAGTTTTAAGCAGGTGCATTCGCTTGTCTCCACCAGTTAAAATCCATACAACAGAGACGTGCTGCACATGTCTGAACAAGTTAAGCATCTAACATGCCCAGTGGGAGCTTCTACCTTCCAAATAAGGCTGACAACCATGTCTGAAAGAGCCTGCGTATGGGAGAAACATGGTATAGAGTGGAAAAAAATGAGCTCAGGGAGAAAACCCCGAGAAGCAGACAAGCAGGACTGACTCTGAGCCGTGTATAATCAGGACAGGATAATGGCACTGTGTGTTTTAGTGCAACAGTCATGGGACTGCCTGACTGGTTCTGAGTGTGTGTGTGCAAAAAGTCCCAGAAAAACACCAAGGAATGACAGTTTCTCTAAATTCTTGACATAACAGATTGTTTCCAGGATATTCTTGCACCCAGACCGAGACACATAGAGCAGAGTCACAGACAGGTAGTAGAGTAAAGGGGAACTAGGACAGACACACTGGAACATTGGTAACACTACATGAGGTAGTCACACATGACACGATCGGGATCATAATCAGGGCAACATCGAGGGGAAGAAGCAGAAAGAACAGAAACTCAGAAGATGTTAGCAGCCAGTGAATGTTTTATAGTTAATATCACTGACAAGCACTAACTCAAGCTCCAAAATACACCCCTTTTTCCCCCTAGGTTACAATTGAAAATCCTTGGGAAGTGGAAAATAGGAAGCTATTGCATATTTCACTGTATTACACAGGTTTAAAACAGCATTTCAAGAGACAAAATCCTTTGCTAACTCGGAAACTAGGAGATGAACTGTGCTAGAATTTGGTTTGCAACAGAGCTCTAAGGAATTCATGTTAGAAATATAGAAAGTGAATTGATTTAGTAGGAACAACAGAGACATATGGCATCATCCCTAGAAACTGTGGCTCATTAAGGCGAGCAAATGTGTTATTTAGCCTGTTAGCTTGAGCATCTTCTGACAATGGGATGATATGCAACACATATTTTAAATGGCAGAGAAATAAGTAGTCGAATTTAAATAAAAAATAATATATTTCCATGGTGGTGGTTCCTATCAAGAAGCAAAACCACTAGATATTCAAAACTTATGACAATCTTGCAGAAATCTCTTGAGAAATGTTAACTATTTTAACTATTTTAACTGGTAAAACACCAAATGAATGGATTCAGAATCAGGCTTTGGCTGAAGCAAACCAAATACAGGCAACCAGAGGAATCACAACTTTGATATAACGTCTCAGGGAAAACCCAGTCATATGATAAAAAGTTAGCTCATAACAGCCGACAAATCACCATTACAGATATACTGACTGATTTATTAAAGATCTGGCTTCAAGAGCCCAGTTCTTTAACTTTTGAAGCTGAAATGTCTCCCGATGCTGGTCACTTGCTTGAAGTGCAATCCTCCATTGTTGGGCAATTAAACAAAGTAAGGGGAAGAGTACCTTAAAAGTCCAATATAAAAGTAGTGACGCAATGGAAAACTGTCTATTCAAGAAATCTCAGAGGCTGACCAAAATAACTATTGAGTCTTTGTTATTGATCAACAGTCCAGGGGCCTCATTTATAACGCCTTGCGTAGGATTCACGTGGGAAGTTGCTTACGTACTGTAGTACAAAGCAAAAAAATAGGTGCAGAAATGTTCCGACATTTTCCGATTCACAAAACATTGCGTACCGGCGAGGGAAGTGCGTACGGCACTTCCTACGCCTGTTTCCCTTTATAAATCATAATCGACTCGTAACGCCCATATTTGCCTATACATAGTCAAAGAAACGCCCATTCATTCATTCATTGTGACTGACTGCATGAAGAAGATCGCAGGAAATTACAACAGAACAGCTAAAAAAGACATCTCACACCGTGTCAGATTTTGGTTATTTTGGGGAGGTCGAGATAAATCATATTGTTTGGTGGATGCAGTTTGAACCAGAGTAGCAGCATGGAGGACGGATCGTCACCAAAATAAATAAATAAGTGGTCCGAAAAAAGTTAATGACAAAGAAAATACACATAACCTTCCTCAGGCAGTGTGTTTGTCCCGGGGACAGGAGACACCCCCTTGATGAGAAACTCTAAGAAATGATCGGGGAATCCCTCCGGAGTGGAGTCATGACGACTGGATCTGAATTATTTTGTTGTATTTGGTGGTTTGTGTTCCAGCTGTCGATCAGCAACTATATATCCATAATCCACCAGTTAAAGGAAATACAACTAAGGTGTTGTGTTATATTAGCTGTACAATTTACCACATATGGTGTTCTTAGTTTCCATACCTCCTGTGTTTTACGAGCGACTTATCAAGTCTTGGCAAACGGCATAAAACACGATTAAACGTGATAGTATATAAAACCATGCTCGTATCTACAACCTATAGAAATGCAAAACGGCGTCAGTTTAGACGTAATTCTGTCCTCCTGCTTACCGCATCATTTATGAGAAAACATTTCATAACATTAACACAACATATTCGAGGTGGTTTTAAATAGCATATCCGTATTTATTTATTTCTCCAAGTTATGTTTTTGTGTGCACTGAGGAGTCGCAAACAGGCGTTTGTTTAATCATTTAAAGATTGGCTTTAATCAATGTTTGAAAATATATTCTTCATATTTGATAAATGAGAGGTAACATTTTATTTATGGTATTATTTCCACATATTTCTCTCCATTCTTCCTTCTGCCAACGGTGTCGCAGTTTCTCGTCTCTCCCGTTTGTGTGCTTAGTGCGTACGCATGGGTTAGAGTTTGCGTGGAGGACCGCACATTTTCCCGTCAAGTTATAATTTTATAAATCGCAAACATTGCATAGAAACTGGCGTACGCCATTTTTTGAGCGTATATCCCTTTATAAATGAGGCCCCTGGGCTTATAGTGTGCTAGGTGCTAAACCCAGGCCCAGATAGTGGGTTTGGATGCCCTACCCTCTGGGGGATATGACTAATCAGATCCGAGGTCAGTCATGCTGCTGGGTTACAGTCTCCATGACTTAGCAATGTGAGCAATTTTGTGTTGACAACAATGCACAAGGCAGAGCAGGGATGCGTTGTGCAGTATTGACTGGGTAGGGAGACTGCCGGGGTGATTAAGACAGTAGCTTCACCAGCAGAGGTTTCACAGTGAGCAGAATTAGTGCAGGTTGACATTGACTGTTCTAGGCTAGTAACTGGATTAGATGGATGTGACCAAGATGATTGAGGACACAAGGAAAACCTTTTCTTTATCCTTCAAACAACGGCAATAACGATCCAAGGAGCCGATCACCCGGCACACGTAACAAGCCAAAACATTGTGTTTCTATGGTACATATGCTCCTTTCTTGATATCATTTCCTTCAGTTTTCACATTAAAAAGGTAAAATATTCTCAAATTTCAGCGCAAGACACAAAGTCACGCTGCCCAAACCAATTAAATCG